GTGATGCCAAACCACGGCTGTAATTATGCCAAAGGTCACACAGAGAGTCCCAAAGATTAATAATGCCTATGGGGGGCAGAGAGCTGTGTGTTTCTCTGAGGTTCTCTCTGTTACCTCTTCAGGTTTGTTACACGGCATCTCGTCCTTCCTCTGTGCAGCCTCGAGCTGTTATTCCGTCTGAAACTTTGGCTTCGAGTCATCATTGCTGCTGTGGGTTCAAATGTTGTATCGAGCACTGAGTATTTCTTTGTCCACTAGGGGCCAGAAAGGATCCAATAATATGTGAAAGCTAAGCAGCAACCTCTGAGCCAATGTGTTTGTCCAAACAACGGTAGTACCTCGAGTGTCCACTTGAGGCAGCCTTCAAACGGCCAGGAGTCTCCATCAGGTCTTATTTTATAATGTTAATTATTTTACTGCAGAATTAATCATGTTTACAGCCTGTTTAAAAAAAGAAGGTGATTTAACTCATTTAATTTGATTTAGCCAAATGTTTTTTTTCACATTTGCATAATTGGGGGTGTGGCTGAGTTGACTGACAGGTGGACAGACAGGTAGTAGCTGTTTCCCAGGAGGCTTAAGGATCTCTTTGCCCGATTCCAGGTTGATTGAAAGTCAAGTAGAGAGAAACAGCAACTTCCATTGTTGTTGACAATGTTGATATCAGAAGCCCCGCCCCTTATTGGTTTTGATTGGTCAATGAGAGAGAAGTGTTATTGACGAGCGCTGAGCTGTTGCAAAAGCTGAACTCTGAGCAAAGCAACAAAAAACAGCTGAGGCTGAGGGCGTTTTTTAACTCAGGACACTGACAATGAAAATTGAAGTACATCGATTTTGTATTTTAAATGGGTGCTGCCAGCGCAAAAAGCATCGTCTGCCCAAGCCCGAGGTTAACCCTCACTTAGATTTCCAAAAAAACCAAGTTAGGTATCCACTCTGTCGTGTGGTGTATGATAACACTGATTCACTTTGATATTTATCACCCAGTGAGGCCAAAACACCCCTGATGTTACATGATATGTTAAATTTGTAGTAATTGGGGCACCGATAGCCTAGCGGTTATGAGGCGCCCCATGTACAGGGTGCAGCGGCCGTGGGTTCAAATCTGACCTCGGCTCTTTGCTTCATATCATCCCCCCTCTCTCTCCTCCCAACATTTCCTGTCTCTCTTAAGTTGTCATATCTAATAAAGGCAGCAAATGCCTAAAAAACATCTTAAAACGAAAACTAAGCCTGAGTCATTTAGCTTGCATTAAAATGTTCTGAATATAGATTACACTGAATGTTTTAACCCTTGTGCCTCTCTGGCTTTTATCTGTTGTTTTCTGATGCTGGCTTTCTTCTTCAAGCTGCATCAAAAAGTTGAATCAGAATTTGTCTTTTTCCGCTCCAAGGTCACGGATTATAACTTACTAAGTGGGTAACTGGATTACTGGCTTTCACATTTGCTTGGTCATGCATTCCCCCCCAACAAACACACAAAAAAAACAATTCAGTGATATGCACAAACACAAACATTGACAACTATAATCTTTTACACAAAGTCAGCCTCCTGACCCTTTACTGAACACACACTTTAGCTCCTAAAGATGTGAGCGTCTCTGAATCAAGCTGCCTGCGTTATAATAATTGATGCACAAATAATGACCTAACTCTAATATTAATGAGCTTCCTCTGCCATGTTTTAATCCCCACAGAAAAATAATAGGGAAATAACAAATACTGCAAACAAACATCTTTCTAGTTTTCATACTTAATGACTTTATAATCCGTCAAAGGAAACAAATGTCATTTCAGACAAGAAGAAGAATAGGCCTCTGACTTTTTTATTTCCCTGTCACGTCTCAGACTTTAAATCCAAATCTTTTCCTAGTCTGAGCTCTTATGTAAAGTCTTAGCAGTGCTTGGTATGACTGGCTGCGTACTGTTTGGACGTCCTGCAGAGTTTGACTGATGGAGTGCGTTGACATTGCAGTCACAGAGCGTCTCTTTGCGGTGCACGTGTTGGCCCGACAGATTCATCTAAATATTGCAAATATGAAGCAGATGTGTTTTAGATTTGATGTCGGGGGAAGTCACATCAGCGGTAACTGTAGTGGACATCTGTGTACTTGAGACAGGGGTTCCCAATATAAAGGTAATGATGCACAAAGAAGGTTTGATTAAGAGATGATACATCATTGATGTACATGCTGAATAGCAGCGGACCTAGAACTGACCCCTGGGGTATCCCCATGCTGTTGTTACGGAAGATGGACTTTTGCCCATTGACTCTGACACATTGCACTCTTCCACTTAAGTATTACTTACACACACATTGTGGTTAACAGTGTCGAAGGCTTTTTTCAAGTCTAGGAAAACTGCTCCCACAACTTGTCCCTTATCCAGAAAGCATTTTATTTTCTCAATAAGATAACGTAAAGGATACGGATGCAGCAACAGGTTATGTATAATGTATAGTGAGCTGGTTGTAATCTTGACGCAAAGATTTGACATATTGCACCGATTTGGAAATCATTTTAATGATCTTTTGCCAGCTCAACAAAATTGTTAGTTGGAATCTCCAATTAGAACTGTATCCATAGTAACAGCTAACATTAGGTGTTTTCAGACCCAACTTTCTGGGGAAGATGTGAGGAGGAAGTTCACTGAGAACTACACACTGTGGGGACTTTCTTTTTTCTGTGCAGCATCTGAAGCAGGAGCTTAAAATAAGTCCTCTAAACAAGGTGCTATAAACTAAAATATGAAATAGTTTCTGTTGTGTGGTATCAATAAAATAGGGGGAGGGTTCCAATAGTTCCTGGAACTATGGAAAAGTTCCTGCAGTGCGAAAACGCCTTTTGTAGACTTCAAAAAACAACTAAGCTAGCTGTTATTACTCACTTTCAAAATGAACAATTCCACTCATGGTGAAACTGAGACTTGGTGCACAGATCTACATGAATCAGACCGTCATCCCCTGTGACTAAAACACTCACTATTATAAAAGGACCTCAAAAAAATACCCTTTACGTTTTGGGCAGCCATCACTATCCTCACTTTCTGTGTCACTGTTTGGTAGAGCAGAGAAGTACTGCATTGCCATGACAAGTGAAGAAATACTTCAGTATTCCAACATTTGAATCCCTGTGAACCAAATGTGGGTCAAAAAAGAAAATGCTAAACAAAATAACTTGAATTTTCCACCAAGTCAAGAGAAAATATTCTCTTACCAACCCTGTTCATGCGTCTCTTTTCTCTCCATTGATCACCCCATTGTTTAAGTGGTGCAAGTGATTGACATCCTCTTACTCTTTTTCCAACAACGTCTCCAGATTTTTCACAAAAAAACAACTTCCACACTGGACAGACTGTGCAAGTACGTGTGTGTGTGTGTGTGTGTATGTGTGTGTGTGTGTGTGTGTGTGTGTGTGTGTGTGTGTGTGTGTGTGTGTGTGTGTGTGTGTTGACATGCTACGCTGCACACATTTGACAAAATCTCTCATACAGTTCAGATTGCAGACGGCTCCCTTCATCAGATCAGCAGCTGTCTCTGTGTGTGTTTGGTCAGGTTGGACCCCCCCGCTGACACCCAGCCCGCTCTGTGAGGGACCCCGTCATCCTCGACAGCTCGACTCAGAAGAAAAAGTCCCTGGAGGGCATTAACACGGTGTGTCCGTGTCCCCTCAGATCGACGATGACGACTCGGTCACTGTTGAATGTGCTTAGTGATGTTTGAAGTTGTTGTTTTTTATCTCCTGGGTTGGAAACTCTCCAGCTTGTGACGAGCCGCTCACATGATCCGTGCACCGCCTCGAGGCGCTGCTGCATTATGAATATTTAGACGCGTCCACACGAACACTCATAATCACTTTTGTGCAACTGTTAAGCACCGTTGGAATGTGTCACTATCCCTGTGTCTTTATCTCCCATGTGAATGTTGCTGAGAGGTTTTTTATGTTATCTTGTGTTGGGAGGGGATTCTGACACACGAGTAACCCACTTTTCTTATCTGATTGGCAGCGTTTCACAAACACCAACTATCATCATCATCATCATCATCATCATCATCACCAGCTCTCCTTCCTCACAGTGGGAAGCTCTCTGCATGAAGGGTGCTGTCTTCTCCTTTCATGACAGTCGCTTCACTTAGCACCTCAGGGTGTCATGGCCCCATTGTTCCTTTACATGTTGGGGGCTGATATTTGATATATGTCAATATTTCACCACATATTTCTTGCTTATATGGTTATAGGTTATCTTAGCTTAGCTTAGCATGAAGACAGATGGTTGTCTGTAGGTCTGGAACTATTCAAAAGTTGAATAAATCTGCTCTCCAGGATCTCCAAACTTAATTCATTCACACATTGTACTAATTCATTTTGGGGTCACCAAACCACCTGCAGCTTTTTATGTAAATTTTGTATCTCAACTTGATTGCAAACTTGATCATTATCAGTTTACTGTCAGATTGGTGTTGAGATTTAGGGCGTGTAACTGAGTGGAGGGGTTCACTGAGACATTTTAACTGGCTCTCATACTTACACCATGTTTACATGTTCACAGGTCCTATTTCTGCTTGGATTCCTTCTATATCACAGTATATTTACTGTATTATTAAGGAAATGAGTAGAGCTAATTCCTTCCTTTGTGCTGTTTAAGTATTGCAAAACAAAAATTGATCCTAGCCCTTTGAACGAAGCTGTGCTGTAAAAAGGTAGCTCCAGCTGGTATGAGGAGTCCAGACTTCCTGGTCCGTCGGCTTAGCTTTCTCAACCCTGCTGTGTACAGTTGTGTAGGTTTGTGCAAGACGATTATATATACGAAGCCTTCTACCTGGATTTTAAATAGAAGAGCACAGAAGTCAAAATGATGAAGCTTTGTTTATACGGCACCAGCATGTCGCAGTTTGACAGTATTTTGACCCATAAAATGGAGATAAAGTAATTCTTTCAACCTTTATTTACACTCAAAAGATCAGAGAGGGGTCAACCCTCGTTTACAACGAGATCGAGTCATTACAGAATCAGAGGCGTGTGGTTCGAATCCGACCTCTCCTCTCCTCCTCGCTCTCCTCCCAACGTTTCCTCCCTAAAAGGACAGGAAAGGCAAAAAAAGGTGCAAAAGATAACCTCATTGTTTTAAAAAAATATTTATTTCTTCATGATTTTCTGGTAGAGTTTCTTGCATTATCTCTTGAACGGTTAAACCGAGCGATGTCTCACCACATTTATCATAAGCGTGTGAAGGTTCACCTGAAGGTTGGTGTTGCTAGCAATGCTAAGGTTAGCCACGCTCTGCAAACCTGTTTGATATTGTTTACAAACGGCCAAATTTAACCCACAATGCACTTCACTTTTCGTTCACTTCCCTTGTTTGGTCTGGAATGCGTTCTCACCCACATGGCTGTATTATGTCTCACACTGAGTTAATATTGAATTAATTGGAAAAGCCTCTAAAACTTTGGGAGACATCTCTCCCCTTTGCGTCTTTTCTTAAGGTGTAGAAATAGTTGGAGAGTCTTTGTCTGATTGTCCAGTCAGAAGGAATTCACATAATTAGTCTGAAAAATGTCAGGTACAAAAAGAGTTATGGGATCAACTTGTGTTGGAAGAAGAGGGGTGAAAAAAAGTTTGCTTTGTTGTAAATTAGGAGAAGTGAACATATCGATATTTCCTGGAAAGATATGAGATACACAGAGGAAATTGAAATGTGTGTATATTACCGACCTGTTTAATTTACAATTTATTGGCGAAACTCCTCCGCCTGTAGAGCTGTGTTTTCATTTGTATAGCGGGACTAATGAAGGGTTGGCAGTGCGGAAGCAATCAGCTGAAATGTGTCATTTTTATGAAAAGGGAATTATTCTAATGCGTATTATGGGTGAGTCACCACTGCGAGGCCACATTTGCAATGCGCTCCTTGTTATCTCCCCCTCTGTTAATTAAGATAGGTGAACTGAAGAGCCTGGGAACTGGATTTCTCTCTGAATTAAACATTCAAATGTGAATTGGTCTGAAGCACTGAAGCTTCCCCTTTGACATTTACAGCACTTTATTTCGCAGGAGGCAGAGGATTCCGAGTATACGGGCCGGGAATACAGAACAGAGTGTTCAATGGCCGAATATAATTAAACCTTTTGTTTTTATTTGCAATATGTTGATAGCATTTTAAGTTAACTTTCACCGTCAACAGAATCCATAATTTGACATTTTTCTTGAGTATTCTTGTGTTGTATCCAAGTGGCAACCTTGGGTGTTGAAAAGTGAAGCCAATGCGGAGGTGCAAAAAACTGCAGTTCCTCGAGTGTCCACTTGAAGCTGGCTCAAAAAAGACCCTGAAGTCCCATTAATTCCCCATTTTTAAATATCTGTTTGTACCGCAGAATTAATAATGTTTACAGCCTGGTTAAAAAACTGTTTTGGTACACTGATACAATGTATGCTGGAGGTTTAATTTGATGAAGGATTCGAGTTATGCATAATTAGAGGCATGACCGAGCTGACTGTAATCATCAGGACGCAAAAGACCCGCCTCAGCTCTAGCTCTCTTGTTTGTCGTTAGGTAGACCGAAAGTTTGATAAAGTCAGCATTTAAAATATGGCAACCGCCATGTATAGCCATCAAAACTGTCATGATTTGGTCTTATTTAGTTTTGTATTTCAGCGTTTAGGTTTCCATGCTTTAATTTCTCCTGTCCATCCTAGTGTTGCTTGTTTCCCTTGTGTGTTTTTGTCTTAATGTTTCATAGTTTAGTCTTCAGTGTTTCCTGTTTTATTTTGTAGTTTATTATCCTTGTGTTTCTTTGTTCTAGTGGTTATGTTACATTCTTGAGTTCTCTGTGTATCTTAGTGCTTCTTGATTTATGTTGTAGTTCTAGTCTCCAGTGTTTCTTGTCTTGTATTGTCTTCCTGCCCCTTTGTGTTTCCCTCCAGTGTGATCGTCGTCATTGTCTTCATCTGTGTCATTAGTCTCACCTGTGTTTGATTACCCCTGTGTCTATTTAGTCTCTGTGTTCCTTCCCTTCTGTGTCCCTTCTGTGTCAGTTCATTGTTGTTTGTCTGTGAGTCTTTGAGTCTGTGAGTCTGTGATTCTGTGAGTCTGTGAGTCTGTGAGTCTATGATTCTGTGAGTCTGTTTGTCTGTGAGTCTGTGAGTCTGTGAGTCTGTGAGTCTGTGAGTCTGTGATTCTGTGAGTCTGTGAGTCTGTGAGTCTGTGATTCTGTTTGTCTGTTTGTCTGTGAGTCTGTGAGTCTGTGATTCTGTGAGTCTGTTTGTCTGTGAGTCTGTGAGTCTGTGAGTCTGTGATTCTGTGAGTCTGTGAGTCTGTGAGTCTGTGAGTCTGTTTGTCTGTGAGTCTGTGATTCTGTGAGTCTGTGAGTCTGTGAGTCTGTGATTCTGTGAGTCTGTTTGTCTGTGAGTCTGTGAGTCTGTGAGTCTGTGAGTCTGTGATTCTGTGAGTCTGTTTGTCTGTGAGTCTGTGAGTCTGTGCGTCTGTGAGTCTGTGATTCTGTGAGTCTGTGAGTCTGTGATTCTGTTTGTCTGTTTGTCTGTGAGTCTGTGAGTCTGTGAGTCTGTGATTCTGTGAGTCTGTTTGTCTGTGAGTCTGTGAGTCTGTGAGTCTGTGAGTCTGTGAGTCTGTTTGTCTGTGAGTCTGTGATTCTGTGAGTCTGTGAGTCTGTGAGTCTGTGATTCTGTGAGTCTGTTTGTCTGTGAGTCTGTGAGTCTGTGATTCTGTGAGTCTGTTTGTCTGTGAGTCTGTGAGTCTGTGAGTCTGTGAGTCTGTTTGTCTGTGAGTCTGTGATTCTGTGAGTCTGTGAGTCTGTGATTCTGTGAGTCTGTTTGTCTGTGAGTCTGTGAGTCTGTGATTCTGTGAGTCTGTTTGTCTGTGAGTCTGTGAGTCTGTGAGTCTGTGAGTCTGTTTGTCTGTGAGTCTGTGAGTCTGTGAGTCTGTGAGTCTGTGATTCTATGAGTCTGTGAGTCTGTGAGTCTGTGAGTCTGTGAGTCTGTTTGTCTGTGAGTCTGTGAGTCTGTGATTCTGTGAGTCTGTGAGTCTGTTTGTCTGTGAGTCTGTGAGTCTGTGAGTCTGTGAGTCTGTGAGTCTATGTCGGATGTCTTCTGCTCTTGTGTTTTGACTTCTAGTTTTTGGTATAAAGTAGGTTTTGTTTTTAGCCTTTTTGTTAAAATAAATCTTATTTCGATTTTCTGCAATTTGGTCCACCTCCTCTTTGTTTTCCAACCATTCATAACAAAACCAGCCCTTTAGAAACTAAAGGTTGACGTCACTCAGTCCATGTTGATAGACAGTCTATAGCTGTATCACATATTTTGATTATTTCCTCTCTGTTAAACAGTTTTTTGGGCCCTTGAGAGATCCTTCCTTGATATAAATTTTAAATGGACTCGAGCTTGTGTAGCGCTCTTCTAATCTTCTGACTACTCAAAGTACTTTTGACTCTCGGCTCACATTCCTTGATTCACTCAACATTTACAGAGGCTGCTGTGAAAAGTGTCCATCAGTATTACCTGATCCCATTCATATCCAATAAGATCTGCTGAATCTGTTCACTGAAGAGAGAAGAATCTGATCTTCATTACCGTAAATGTAATACATTTTCTTGATACCGTTAGAGCATAGGTTAATAAATTCTCCAGATCTTTTATTTAACTCAAAGTGTTGTCTGAACCTCAGCCTCCTGAAGCACCTCGTCATGGTTTTTGTGTGTGCATAAAAGGGCGGCAGTCACTCAGACTCGCTGTCGGGGACTGTTTCAACACTGTCCCAACGGCGGTGATTTTGGAATGTGGTGAGACAGCTGCTCTGGAGAAAGGTTGAATATGTCAGTCAGGACAATGGGGCACTGATGCACCCTCCCCGAGTGGGAGTCGGGGACAGTGAGGTGCTGGGATAGTCTGCAGAGGAAAAACAGCCTTTCCTACCTTCTCTTGCTAAGTTAATCAGGGAAGGTTTGTAGGTTTTTCATGAATAGTGGCCTTGATGGCCCTCGTCAGTTTAGCCTGGGATGAACCGATGCAGGCCTCTGGCAGCAGGCGGACCACTCTGGTTTGGGAATGTTGTAATCTGTTTTAGGAGGGCAGTGACACTATCGATGTTGACTTGGTCCATGCATAAAAATCAATGTTTGTTCGTGAGTGTGTAGCTGTGTCTGTGAGTGTTTCAAATAATCTCCAGTCCTTGTGTTCAAACTTGATGTAGTGCAGAGTCAGCGTCTGGCTCCACTTTGACTGAAGGAAGCTAACATGAAATCATTTCCCTTTTTAAGCCCGATGAATTGATTTGAAAGTTATACTAACACGATAAAGCTTCTGTAGTTCAACTAACAAACCTCTTGTTTTGTTAGTGATTGATTGAAGAGTGATTAAAGTCTTTATATGTGATTTTTCACACTTAAATGTAGAAATCAAGTATCTCCTCTGAAAATAACTCTGTGAGTCATGACTGTCTACAATGGGTGTAACACCCGAGTCCCACTGTCTGTGATGTTTTCAGAGTTTTCAGAGTCCTATCTTCACTTTGTTTACATCGCCGGGGACGGCCGGCTGACTCCTCCCCTCAAGTATAAAAGTTGTTTAATTGAGGGACTAGAGAAAAGAAGAATAACATACTGTACTCACTGCTTAACTGTGTTTCTAGATCACACTCATTTCAGGTAAATTTACATGCAGTGTGAAGATACGAGCATAATAAATATCGCTAGCATTAGCATGCTAACACAACAATGCAGCGCAAGTTGTTTTGGTTTCATGCTGGTGCTCAAGGGCGACATCTGCTGGATCAAAACATCACATATAAAGCCTTTGAGAGTGGCTACACTTACAACAACCTTCCAAAAGAGAAAGTTTGAAGTTGACAGAAAAACCTTGAACAGTTCCTGGAGTGATCCCCGTGTGTGTGTGTGTGTGTGTGTGTGTGTGTGTGTGTCCTCCAGTCACACCTGGACGTCTGCACAACAAATGGAAGCACTTTGCCGCGGCGAGCCCTTGAAGCTCTCCTTGTCCATGTTTGCATCAGCGTTTGGCAGCTCGTATCAGAGGCCTTGGTTCACCCTACCTTCATTTATAAGTCTGACA